ATTGGAACTCTTTATTTCCTGTTAGTTTATAAAGTGGATCTGCTATTTTTTCGAAGTTGTAAATGTATGGTCTGAAGTAGTTTATAAATTCTAAGAATTGTTGTACTTCTTTTTTAGAAGTTGGAGTCTTGAATTTATCTACTTCCTTGCTTTTTAGAGCATTTTTCCATATTTTTCCATATTCTACTTCATGATTGAGTATTGTTGTTTTGTTGACACAGAACTCGCATTTAGAGTGTTTAAGTTTAAGGCCCCCTTTTTCGAGCTCTATTAACATCCTCATTAATCTTACTCTCATTTCTTCAATAGAGTTTGCAACAATAGTCAAATTATCCATGTAGAGTAGAATCTAATCAAATTTAGATAGTAATTTATTTACTGCTGCTATTAAGTATGCAGATGCAGTACTAATTCTAAAGAGTAAATTATTTCACTCATAAGTACTGTATTTTCCAAATATACTAGCAGTATATTTTCTGCTATTTTCATGCATAAGGAGTTGCCAAAATGCTGATTTTAAATCCATTGTTGTATATATTTTGTGTGCTACTATTTTCTGCAGTATCTGATGTATATCAGGTAAAGGTTACTTAAATTGCCTTAAATGTTTATTCAAGCCCCTATAGTCTATTGCTATTTTTTTCATGCCATCTTTTTGGGTTATAACTAAGACATTCGCTCTCCATTCTGATTGTGCTGAGTATACAATTTTGTTTTTCACTAAGTCATCTAATAGGTTTTTTATTACTTTTAGTTTTCTTCAGAGTATTTTCTAACTTGTTGGCATTTATCTCTTTCAAATATTTCAGTTTCTGGTATTTTTAATTTTAATTTTATTTTTAGGATTACTTCAGGTTTTACACTAGTCCCTGGTTCAGGTTTTTCTCTAAAGCAATCGATATATTTCTCTAATATATTGCCTAATTGTTTCCATATTTTAGGTCTACAGTTTTTCTTTAAGATTTCAATTCATTCTTTAACAGCTTCTCTCTTATTCGTCCAATCTATTTCTCTTTTCTTCAGAATCTTAATTTCATTGAGAAAAAATTTTAGTGACTTTTCTAGTATTTCAACATTTCCAATATATTGATCCTTAATTATTTGGACTTCATTTTATGAGTAGTTTGCTATTAGTATATAGTCTCCACTTGCTACTCCTGGTTGAATAGCTATTTCTTTTTTAGCTAAATATTCTGGGGTTCCTATATCTATTTTTTATAGGTTTTCTTAATTTTATTGATAATATTGTATGCTTGGTAATGCAATATTTTGTGTACTGTATATTTGATCATCCTTTTTTGCATCTAATAATACTGTAGGTATTATTTTCTTTCTTTTAATAGGATGTATATGGTTTAGTCATATATGAAGATTATTATTTTTTATATGTTCTTGTACTTCTTCATTCATTTCTTCTAGAAATTCTTGTTATTCTTTAGTTAAACTTTCATCATCACTTTCATTAGCTAGTGCTCTTATTCCTTCATTTCTTTGTTGTATTTTATTTTCTACTAATTCTTTAAATTTTGCATAAGCAGAAGATTTAGAAGATCGTGAAGGTAATAAGTTTGGTGTTACTGAGTAGTCATATGTTATTGGTATTTGTTGGTTTTCTTCATTATAGACTTCTTGTTCTTGATTAAATGCTCTTTTAATATTGTAAGATGTCTCTTGTTCTTCTTCATTTTCAGAATTTGTTACTGATGGTGTATACATTTTTTGATTTTTATACCATGATGCTGGTGATGAGGTATTACTTCTATCTATAGATCATTTTGGATTTTTTATTTGCTGATTGTTTTGAATTGATGTTAGTAAAATATCAAGAGTATTTGTAAAGTCTACAGAGTTTCTTAAGTTTGATGGTTGTTTGGAGTTATGGATATGTTGTTTTGAGGATCCTGATCATCCAAACACTTGTTTCCATCCTCCTGTGCGAGATAAAGGTCTTAATCTTTCAGTTATTAATAGAATCCACCTTCTTTTTCTTTTAGAGGCATTACTATCAATTTATAATTTATCAGATTCTGTTGGTGATTTTGGTGGTGATCTTGGAGAGTCCAGGATATTGATGTTCTTCTTGATATCCTGTTTTTGGTAATTCTATTCTTGGAGGTGGTGGTTTAGTTCGTATTTATGCCTCATTTTTTGATAATTGTGTCTTAATATTTTCTTCAATTATCATCTGGCCTTTTATTTCTAATTGTGTTGCAAGTAAATCTCTATATTTATTCTGTATTGCTTTTCTAGCTTTTTTATTTTGTACATTATTTGCTTCTAATAATAATTTATTTAATACTTCTCTTTGGTCCTATTCTGGCATTGCTTTGAATTGTTCATTTGTAATAGAGATTGGTGAGTTAGTATCTCTCTCATATTCTTTGAGCATATCGTTAATGGCTCCTCTTAATGTGAATATAGATGCATCATTTTTATTTGATATTTTATTTAGAAAATCAAATATATATTCTCTTCGCGATTCATGAGCTTTTCTATGAGTTATACCTGTTACTTTTTCTTTCAATTTTAATATTTCTTCTAATTGATCATCATCTAGTGCTAAAGTATAATTGTAATGATGTTGAATTTGATGCAATTTTGTTCGTAATTGTTCAAATTTTTTTTAATTTTTGGATCTTTGATATCATTTTTGCTTTTTAGTATTTGTTTCCAGTTTGTTAGCTTTTGCCTTATTATCATTTTTGGTCATTTTGTTGGAGATCTACTTGGTGATCTACTCAGTATTTTTACTCGTTTTCTCTTTTTATCACTTGATTTTGCTTGCGAAAATACTTCTTATTCAAACTAATTTATAGTTTAAATTATTTCTTCAAGCATTTTGTTATTAAGCTGTTTTTGATCTTGTCTTCATTTGCTAGTCCTAGTGTCATTCTTGCTAGCTGTTCTGCTAAATCTACTATCTCAGGCTCTTTATAGATTATTCCAAATCCTATACCTGTTCCCATAGTAGGCATTTCATTTCTTGAATTTTCCTGTTGGTCAATTGCATTAGACCATTGTTCTCTTTTTTGATCTTCTTCCAGTAGATCATTTGCATATTCTCTGAGTTTTTGTACTTCTTGTATTTGTGCCAATTGATCTTGCTGTTCTATACTTAGTGTTTCTAATATCATCGCACAGACCTCTTTGTGCTGAGCTATCATTTGATAAACTTCTTGTAGTATGGTGCTGGTTGGATCTATTAAGTGTGCATGCTTATTCATTTCTTTTCCAAATGCACATTCTGGTAGATTATTGTTAATATGTATTAACATTATCTCTTGTCCATACATATATAGTACATTTCTAAATTCATGTACCATTTTTCCACATCCTGAGCATAAAAATACTGAGTATCAAGGCAAATTCCTATTTGCTTTCTTTCTTTCTTCTTATCTTTAAATCTTAACTCTTGTTTTATACTATCCAATATATCCATGAGGTCAGCAACTGTTGCACCAAAACAGTTGTT